AGCATCCGTGCACGGACCTCACACGTGACACACTGGGACCCGGCATCCATGCACACAGCACCTCACACGTGACACGCTGGGACCCAGCATCCGTGCACGGACCTCACACGTGACACACTGGGACCCAGCATCCGTGCACACAGCACCTCACACATGACACGCTGGGACCCGGCATCCGTGCACACAGTACCTCACACGTGACACGCTGGGACCCAGCATCCGTGCACAGCAGACCTCACACGTGACACGCTGGGACCCAGCATCCGTGCACGGACCTCACACGTGACACATTGGGACCCAGCATCCGTGCACGGCAGCACCTCACATGCCTCACACGTGCCACGCTGGGACCCGGCATCCGTGCACGGCAGGACCTCACATGCCTTACACGTGACACGCTGGGACCCAGCATCCGTGCACACAGCACCTCACACGTGACACGCTGGGACCCGATATCTGTGCACACAGCACCTCACACGTGACACGGTGGGACCCAGCATCCGTGCACGGACCTTACACGTGACACGCTGGGACCCGGCATCCATGCACGGCAGGACCTCACATGCCTCACACGTGACACGCTGGGACCCGGCATCCGTGCACACAGCACCTCACACGTGACACGCTGGGACCCGATATCTGCACACAGCACCTCACACGTGACATGCTGGGACCCAGCATCCGTGCACGGACCTCACACGTGACACGCTGGGACCCAGCATCCGTGCACGGACCTCACACGTGACACGCTGGGACCCGGCATCCGTGCACGGCAGCGCCTCACATGCCTCACACGTGCCACGCTGCACAGCACTCCCTGGGATGCTGTAGCCATCCCACACCTGAACTCACATCTCTCGATCAGACAGCAGCTCCCTGAGGGGTGTGGGATACGGCTTCCTTCCACACTGATGGTCATCTGGAAACCACTCCCCAAGTGCCCCACGTGACTGCCCCCACTGCACACCCACAGCATGCTCACACGTGTCACTGCATGTCAACATGCTCACATGTGTCACTGCACACTGACAGCATTCTTGCACATGTCACTGCTTCTCTAGAGTATGCTCATGCGTGTCACTGCATGCCAACAGCACGTTCACGTGTGTCACTGCACACCAAGATCATGCTCACATGTCACTGCACGCCCACAGCATGCTCACGCATGTCAGTGCATACCCATAACACACGTGAGTCACTGCACATGCACAGCACTCACACGTGTCACTACATGCCAACAGCGAGCTCAGGCATGTCACCACACACTCACAGCATGTTCACGTGTGCCACTGCACGCCCACAGCATGCTCATGTCACTGCACATGACAGCATGCTCACGTGTCACTGCACACGACAGCATGCTCACGTCACTGCACACCGACAGCATGCTCACACGTGTCACTGCACGCCCACAGCATGCTCACGTGTCACTGCACACGACAGCATGCTCACGTGTCACTGCACACGACAGCATGCTCACACGTGTCACTGCATACGACAGCACGCTCATGTGTCACTGCACGCCCACAGCATGCTCACGTCACTGCACACAACAGCATGCTCACGTGTCACTGCACACGACAGCATGCTCACATGTGTCACTGCATGCCCACAGCATGCTCACGTGTCACTGCACACGACAGCATGCTCACACGTGTCACTGCAGACAGCATGCTCACACGTGTCACTGCACACCGACAGCACGCTCACGTGTCACTGGCTGTGCTGAATTCCCGAGGGCAGGATCACGCCTCACTAACCTGGGGTCCAGCATCTACTGCCATATCCGAGCACCGGGAGGAAGCCGACTGCCAGGCACCACAGCTGTCACCTCCAATCCACGTTGGACCTAACTCCCAGCCTCACTGGATTTAGCTGGGATCTTTCGGGAAGTAATGCTGGGCAAATGCTGAGAGCTGGAGTCCTCACAGGAGGGGCGCGGAGCCCCTGGGTGTGTCCCGGCCCCCACCCTCCCCACCCCCTGCAGAGGCAAGGCCAGGCGAGCGCCCTCACCCTGAGGCCCGGGGAGTCGCCTGGTCTACCCCTGCCAAGGAGCGCCGGCAGGACTCAAAGCTCAGTAAACGCAGCAGGCAAACTGGTGCGGCGGTGATTCTGTGTGGCCGCGAGTGATACTATAAATACCCAAACAGCGCGGTGGAGACAAGCTTCCCACCCGCTCCAGACGGAGCGGGGCAGCCGTGCTGGGTAAGTCCCCCGTCCGAGCTAAGGCCTACCCCGGGGGTGTCTGCAGACAACGCAGAGCACGGCGCCCATTACCTCCCCTCCTCACCCTGGGCCTCAAAGACTCATCCTTGATTTCGCTTACGTGGGTCTGGGGAAAATCTCCAGAATCTTCTGGACATGTGATGCCCAGCCCTCTGCTGCGCGAGCACAGCCGTTCTTATTCCAGGGTCACTGAGCGGATTCGGCTGCAGGAGGGGGTGCCGGGAAGCAAGAGCCGCTCGGTGCTCAGAGCACGGCGCGTTACCCTGCACAGGTAAACAGTGAACACAGGGCCTCTGTGCGGACGGCTGGGCGCCGCGGACGCAGGCCCGCCGGGGTGGCGGTGCAAAGTGCCCTGGCCCGGGAACACCCCGGAGACGCGGCACGGGGGGTCTGGCTTCAGTCATTTGGCTCCAGGCTCCCGAAAGCATAAAGCTGTTTCAGCTGAACAAACCCACACATGACACGAACTGCGTGGATTGTGCTCTGGGTGAGGCCCCCGCAGCCCCCCGTTCTTGGGAAGAGACTGCCAAGTTTAGGGACCTGGGAGGCACCGTGCAGTGTGGAGCCGCGGAATGTGGGGTTCTCAGCATCGCCCAAAGCCACCCCAGCAGAGGGCACCGTCGGGGCTCCAAAGAAGGATGGCACCGAGACCCCCGGCGCCCTGCCTCTTGTCTGCTCCCAGGGAGAGACCCCTCCCCATAGCACAGGGCGGGTGTCAGCCCCACAGCACCCCCGGGCGCCTTCTCTTTTGTCTGCTCTCGGGGTGAGGCCCCTCCCCAGCACAGGGCGGGCGTCAGACCCACAGCACCCCCGGCGCCCTCCCTCTTGTCTGCTCCCAGGGAGAGGCCCCTCTCACAGCACAGGGCGGGCGCCAGCCCCACAGCACCCCCGGGCGCCCTCCCTCTTGTCTGCTCCCAGGGAGAGACCCCTCCCCATAGCACAGGGCGGGCGTCAGCCCCACAGCACCCCTGGGTGCCCTCCCTCTTGTCTGCTCCCAGGGAGAGGCCCCTCTCACAGCACAGGGCGGGCGCCAGCCCCACAGCACCCCCGGGCACCCTCCCTCTTGTCTGCTCCCAGGGAGAGACCCCTCCCCATAGCACAGGGCGGGTGTCAGCCCCACAGCACCCCCGGGCGCCTTCTCTTTTGTCTGCTCTCAGGGTGAGGCCCCTCCCCAGCACAGGGCGGGCGTCAGCCCCACAGCACCCCCGGCGCCCTCCCTCTTGTCTGCTCCCAGGGAGAGGCCCCTCCTCACAGCACAGGGCGGGCATCAGTCCCACAGCACCCCCGGGCGCCCTCCCTCTTGTCTGCTCCCAGGGAGAGACCCCTCCCACAGCACAGGGCGGGCGTCAGCCCCACAGGACCCCCGGGCGCCCTCCCTCTTGTCTGCTCCCAGAGAGAGACCCCTCCCCAGCACAGGGCGGGCGTCAGCCCCACAGCACCCCCGGGCGCCCTCCCTCTTGTCTGCTCCCAGGGAGAGGCCCCTCCCCACAGCACCCCCGGGCACCCTCCCTCTTGTCTGCTCTCAGGGAGAAGCCCCTCCCCACAGCACAGGGTGGGCGTCAGCCCCACAGCACCCCCGGGCACCCTCCCTCTTGTCTGCTCCCAGGGAGAGACCCCTCCCCACAGCACAGAGCGGGCGTCAGCCCCACAGGACCCCGGGTGCCCTCCCTCTTGTCTGCTCCCAGGGAGAGGCCCCTCCGCAGCACACGGCGGGCGCCAGCCCGTGTTTCTGGGTGAGCTGATCCTAAAGCCAGTTGCTCAGTGAGGCTTTCGCAAGGGGAAGTGGAATGCATAATTCACATGGATGTGAGCAAAACCAGTCCAGGAAAAAAAAGAACCTCCCCGCTCCCCCAGCCCCACGGGCTTCTACTTTTAAGTACAGTTCTACATTTTGAGCAAAGCTGAATCAAGCCACATATTTAACGTCGGTCACCTTAGAAGCACGCTCAAAAGCAGACGGGGTGTGCGCACACACAATTCCTGTTTTCCTTTGTGCTACTCCCCAGGAGCACCCAGGGAGCCTGCGAAGCCGAGCCGGCAGTGCCCTCTGGTGTCCGCAGGCGTCAGTTTGCCGAGAGGCAGAAGGCGCCTTTGTGCCATGGGACAGGGCGACCAGGAGCTCCGGCTCATTCCTGGAGGATCTGCTGGACGCGTTCCCTACGCCAGCGGGCAGGAAGCCGGGGCGGGGAGAGACACCCCCAGGAGATGTGTCCACTTCTGACCCAGCTCCCCGCTAACACGCCTGAGAAACGCAGAGGACGGCCCACGTGGCTGAGCCCCTGCCAGCCCTGTGGGAGACCGATGGAGTTCCAGGCTTCTGGCTTTGGCCAAGTCTAACCCAGCCCGGGCCGTTGCAGCCATTTGGGGAGTGAACGTGCAGATGCAAGATCTCTCACTGCTTTACAAATAAATTAATCTTAAAGAGAAGAAAGAGAGACCATCACAGAGGAGTCAGGGCGGGCTCCAAGCCAGAGGCGTCACACCAGTCAGCGGTGTCCCTGCTGATCCCAGGAGCAGTCGGCCAGGGCCCCTCACGCACCGTGCGAGCAGCCCCGGGAGCGTGGCAAAGGGGGCGGCCAGGCGCCCTGCTGAGGCTCCTCCCCTGGGCTCTGGGAAAGCCACAGCCAGGCGTGAAGGCGCGAGGGTGGCTCCTGCAGCCGCCAGCCTCACGTGGGAGACACGATTAGCGCCGCCGGGCCCTGCAGCGAGACCGGCAGGTCTTAACCGTGCACTCCTCCGTATTTTGCAGTAGCACGTACGCAGCCTGCAGACACTCCATGTGAAGCGTTTTTATTATAAAAGTAGTACAGAGAGACTGAGACATCGGGGAAAGAGGACCCACCCCCGCACCCTCCGGTCAGCGCTGTGCCTCGCCGGCGCCGCATGTCTGCAGCGCCATCGCCCGCGGCGCCCCGAGCCTCGGTTCTCACTTCGTGGAGCACTGCCCCCCCCCCACGTTTTCACTGGCATTACCGCTATCGGCGAGCACATCCGCCCTTCACACGCACCTGCCTGCAGATGGGCAAACCACGCCCACTGGAGTGCGGTTCTAGTGGACCACGGCCATGCGTGGCTACTGCAGCTGCCTCCACGCCATGGCGGCAGTGCCCGGAGTCACGGCAGACGGGACGGCCTGCGCGGCCGACGTGCACTTCCTGGATTTCCAAGGAGGCCCACTGCCTCCTGCCTTGTCTGTAAGCAGCTCACGACCTGAGCTACTACGGTGGTCCACCCAGGACCTCGAGTGTTCCTGTGTCGGCCGCCTGGACCGGGGCTGGAACCGAACTGGCCTGATGGCCTGGCAACGCGACATCACTCAGGCTAGCCCACCTCCACAACATCGCTAAGGCTAGCCCCACCTCCACGACATTGCTCAGGCCAGCCCACCTCCGTGACATCGCTAAGGCTAGCCTATCTCCGTGACATTGCTCAGGCTAGCCCACCTCCGTGACATCGCTAAGGCTAGCCTATCTCCGTGACATTGCTCAGGCTAGCCCACCTCCGTGACATTGCTAAGGCTAGCCCCACCTCTGTGACATTGCTCAGGCTAGCCTACCTCAGTGACATTGCTCAGGACAGCCCCACCTCCATGACATTGCTAAGGCTAGCCCCACCTCTGCAACATTGCTAAGGCTAGCCCCACCTCCACGCCATTGCTAAGGCTAGCCCCACCTCTCCACCTCCCTGGTGCCGCTCCAGCTGACAACAGGGCGGTGGCAAGGACAGGTGGGAGGCTGTGTGCCCTGGCCGGCAGCGCCCCAGCCTGTGGGTCCAGCCGCAAACCCGCTCTCTGCATGGGTGCACGTCCAGCTCTGTCGGCCCAAGAGGCGAGTGGCAGGCACTGCAGTGGGAGAACCACAGGCGAGGGTCTTTCCCTTCTACGAGGGATGAAGACGCAGACAGGAGCAGACTCTGCAGGGGTCGGGGTTTAGAACGCCCTCCACCCCACCGTCGGAAGCAGGGACAGGCGCCGGCCTCAGAACAGCCTCAGAACAGCCTGGCGGCCCTGCACGCAGACGTGGGTCACTGTCCCTGCTGAGTCTCCAGCAACTGCTCCAGTTCCCCGACACAAAACCCGGCCTGGGAAGGCTGTGTTCTGCGGGACCAGCCGGGCGACCCCGCCTGTCGCAGGTCCAAGAGGCAGCAGCCGACGGGTCTCGCGGTCTTGTGTCGGGAGCGCAGGCGTCATCTCCTTAGGGGGACGTTCTGCAACACAAAACCAGGGGGTCAGCGCGGGCCTCTCACGGCGAGCCCCAGCTCGGAAGCAAACGCAGAGCGGTTAGTGTGATTATCCTGACAGCCAACAGTCTGCCACGAATCAGAGCTCCTGTCGCCTCACCCCACCCCGCCCCGCCCCGCCACGCCACGCCACGCTACGCAGCAGCTCCTAGAGGCGTTCTCCCAGGGAACTCGGCCCCAGCTCAGCCGCCCACCGACCTCGGGAAACGTCTGGGACGCGAGGACATTCCCCGGAGCACGGGAACCAGCGAGCAGCAGTAAGCGGGAACACCCCGCTCCGGACAGAACACAGCCACAGCCACAGCCAGTCTTCCGACGCGAGAACCACGCCCTCCCCTGCATTCCCAGGCGGCAGAGGAAGCGGCGCGTCTCTGAGTGGCTGTCCCTCCTCACTGCCGCTGTCAGTCACCTCACCACTGACCTGGGGGTCTGGCAGCGTGAACCCATCCGTCAGTCTGTAATAGACGATCGTCGAGTCGGACTCCACGATGGCCAAGGTAAAGGACATCGGCAAATCCGGATCTCCTCGCAGCTTCCGAGATGCCTGCAAGATCTCCCTGATCCTGGGAGCAGACACAGGCGGAGGGAGCAGTCAGTCACCCAGCTGGATCACCAGTGACCTGCCGCACCCACGTCTGGGGCAGCGTGGCATCACCCGTGTCCCGGCATCCTGTGAGGCAGGGCCGCCACGGGCCCAGCCCCCTCCTCCCAGGACAGGACAGGCGGGTTCAGGGCACGAAACCCGGCTAAGGGCCTGGCGTTCCCACTCCTGGGACAGCGCGCTCTTACGGGTGCTCTTCACGTCAACGTGGTATTCAGGCTCAGCACAGCCACAAGGACCATCTCCCGACGTGTGACACGTGATTCACACTGACTTTAACCGCTGTCCACTGCCCCGCAGGCCCCCCCGTCCTCCCCAGGGGCTGTACACTGGCGCCTCCGCCACAGCCCGGCTTTGCCTCTGGTCCACAGGGCCTGGCCGCCCCCTTCCGGCCTTTTCAGGAAAGCTTTGGGGACCCGACTCTGGGCCATGAGAAAGCCCCCCCGGAACTACTGGCTCAAAAGTCAAAGTGGGAGGAAGCGCCCCTTCAGCTGGGCAGGGAAGAGCTTCAGAAACCACCACGCCGTAACCAAGGCAACGCCAGTTCACTGCAAGGTATCACCGTGAAGGAGACACAAACACAAAGCGACTTCAAGCAGAGAAGTCTCTAGGAGAGAGGAGCCCCTGCAGGGACCCAGAGAGTAACACAGGCGCTTCCACCCGAGGGCGACCGCTAAGCCTGGCCAGGGCCCACGGGCGAGCTGTCGCAGGCAGGCAGCTCAGCAGGGTGAGGACAGCCCCCACCCAGGAGCTGCCACCCACAGGGACACCAAGCCCTCCCCTCCCCAGGTCTCCCAGCACCAGCACGAACAGCGAGGGCAGGGGCTCCAGTCACCAGGCCTGCTGAGCGAGGGGCCCGGCTCCCTCCCCGACTATCTGAAACTGGAAGAGAACTCAGGATCGGCGGCTGCAGCAGCCTGGCCCGACTGCTTGGGGTGAGGACACGGGCCCAGGATGGGGTTCCCTGGGGCAGGAAGTGGCACCATCCTCAGTCTCTCAAGACACGCAGGGGGCAGGGGGCAAGGGGCAGGGGGCAGGGGGCAGTGGGAGGAGGCACTGAAATGGACTGAAAACCAGAGTACCAGGCGATCCAAGGCCTGAAAACAGAAGCTGAAAACTCCGATGCTGACCTTCACTGCTAAAGACACTAAAATAACTCGTAACTATGCTACAGCGTGGAGGGAACAGATCAGAGAGTGCAAGACAGACATGCCGGCTGCAAGGGAAATTCTAGAGAAAGCGGGCACTCCGGTGTGTTAGTGTAAGCACTGAGCAGTTCAACGGTAGACCAGATGTGGTGAGGAAAGCACCAGCAGACCTGCAAACAGCTCGAAGAAACCAGCCTGAAGTACAGAGAGAGAAAAATGCACCAACCAATCCGAGGCCTCTGACAGCATCGGGAGCGTTTAACGTCATGGGCTGGCATGGCAGGACAGAGGGCTACGGGAGACCGAGGACCCGCCAGCCTGTCCCCGGGTCCCAGTGTCTGCTGCAGACAGCCACTGTGGGTCCTGTCTCACGCAGTGTGCCCACCGCTGCCGGGCTGGGAGGTGGACCCGCACACGCTGACGCCCCCGGGGCTGCCCTCGGCTCTCCCTCCGTCACGCTCTGTGGATGCCCCCTCACCTCCCGCTCGCAGTCAACACGGACTTTCCTGGCACCACTTCCATTCCCTTGCTTTCCCACTACCGGTTTCTGAGTCTCTTGGCGGGGAGTCTGTTACTTTGTCTCCAGCTGCCTGGAATCAGTGCCACCCAGCTCCAGTGACACGCTGCTGCTCTGTGCTGCCTCTGCCTGCTGCTGCCACCCAGGTCTGTGCACGGGAAACCCGGTGTGGCGGCACATTACGCTCTGGGCACTCTGCCATCTGTTCTAAGGGGAGAGGAGACACAGGTATCTGGTAGTCTCTGTTTCTTCAGCCCCTCTCTGGCGGGCCCTCCTTGCTGCCCCAGCCTCTGGGTTCAGACTGTCACACACAGGGTCGGCGTCAGGGCTAGCAGGGGAGCCCCCTGGGATGCCCGCGTCCCAAACCAGGTAAGGCAGCAACTTCATCACCTGCAGCGACAGGCACTGGCGGGTAGGGCGCCCTCCAAGCACCTGCCCATGCAAGAGTGGAAAACAAGCAACTGAACAGTCAGGAGTGGGCATCTGTACGTCAAGAGGCCTCGGGACACCTGCACCCACATCAAGGTGCTGGGCTGAGTCCCAGCTCACCCCGGGAGGCTGCAGGTGGCGGCTCCAGTACTTGGGCCAGCCACCTCATGAGACATCCAGACGGAGTTCACAGCTCCTGGCCTTGGTCTGGCCCAGCCCTGGCTGCCGTGGGCACCTATCCGGGGGGGTCAATCAGTGGAGGAGAGATCTGTGTGTGTCTGCCTTTCAAATAAATTTTTAAAAGAAATACATAAATGAATAGTCCAAAAGACCAATTTTTATAGGCTATGCATCTTGAATTAGCTTTTTCTACACTAGTGGAAGAGAAGAAATAGACTAGGGGCTGGTGCTCTGGTGTAGCTGGTAAAGCCGCCACCTGCAGTGCTGGCATCCCATACGGGCGCCGGTTTGAGTCCCCGCTGCTCCACTTTCAACCCAGCTCCCTGCTGTGGCCTGGGGAAGCTGCGGAAGATGGCCCGAGTGCTCGTGCCCCCGCACCCGTAAGGGAGACTGGGAAGAAGCTCCTGGCTCCTGGCTTCGGATTGGCCCAGCGATGGCCAATGGAAGATGGAAGATTTCTCTTTCTCTCTCTCCGTCTCTGTAACCCTGCCTTTCAAATACATAAATTAATCTTAAAAAAAAAAAAAAAAAAAAAAAAAAAAAAGAAGAAGAAGAGGAAGAGGAAGAAACAGACCAGGGGTTGGCTTCCACTGGAACCGCTCTAACCTGTCAGGGTGCAGCACTTCACCTTGGAGGTGGCGTACCTGAGGTCTCTGGTGCCACATGGCAGGTGAGCGTCTCTGAACAGCCCCAACAGACTGAAGGCAGGACACAGACAGAAGGAAAAACCCATTAGGCTAGCTTTCCCACGTCCTGTTTCTCAAGGTGGACACTGTTTGAATCAGGGTGTGCACACGTGTGGTTTCTGCCTCAGGTCAGGAGATGGGAATTGGAGCCCACGTCCTGAAATTCAGGATAGAAATTTCCACCTCTGCTTCTTTTTTATTCTCCATTGACCCTTGTTTGGTATAAATAGCAGAGTATTTTTAGAGTATTTTTAGACTAACCTCAGACACCCTGTGGGAAGCCCTACGGGGTGGAAATTACCCAGAGCTGGGGGGGGGGCACTGTCAGGAACGCAATGGAAGTTCCCACCTCTGCACTCCTGTCTGCGCACTGGAGCTGGGGCCCTGCCCTGAGCCGTCCCCTCCCCTGGGAGGCGTCCCCACCTGTCTCCGACAGGGGCTCAGCACAGAGCCATCCCCCCCCCGGGAGGCATCCCCACCTGTCTCCGACAGGGGCTCAGCACAGAGCCGTCCCCTCCCCTGTGCCCTCGGTAGGACGCTGAGCGGTTCCTACCGTCGTCGGTCCCCAAGTCTGCAGTGACACTGACAGCAGCAGGGGTCCCAAGCTCTACGGGCAAATTCCACACGACAGCAGAGACGCCAGCAACAGTGCGCCAGTGCCACCACCACACTATGGTCTCAATTCTTTTTTAAAGATTTATTTATTAGGCCGGCGCCGCGGCTCACTAGGCTAATCCTCCGCCTAGCGGCGCCGGCACACCGGGTTCTAGTCCCGGTCGGGGCGCCGGATTCTGTCCCGGTTGCCCCTCTTCCAGGCCAGCTCTCTGCTGTGGCCAGGGAGTGCAGTGGAGGATGGCCCAGGTGCTTGGGCCCTGCACCCCATGGGAGACCAGGAAAAGCACCTGGCTCCTGGCTCCTGCCATCGGATCAGCGCGGTGCGCTGGCCGCAGCGCGCCGGCCGCGGCGGCCATTGGAGGGTGAACCAACGGCAAAAGGAAGACCTTTCTCTCTGTCTCTCTCTCTCACTGTCCACTCTGCCTGTCAAAAAAAAAAAAAAAAAAAAGATTTATTTATTTATTCAAAAGTCAGAGTTATGGGGAGCAGGGGGAAGACAGAGAAAAATCTTCTATCTGCTGGTTCACTCCCCAAAGGGCCACAAGAGGACCAGAGCTGGCCGAATCCTAAGACAGGAGCTTCTTCTGGGTCTCCCGGGTGGGTGTAGGGCCCAAGCACTGGGCCACCTTCCACTGCTTTCCCAGGCACGTTAGCAGGGAGCTCGATCAGAAGCGGAGCAGCCGGGACTCGAACCAGTGCTGGCACCACAGGCAGCTGCTTTAACCACTGTGCTACAGTGCCGGCCCCTACAGTCTCAAGTTCTAACATGCTCACAACTTGGATCTTAACTGGAAACCACGGAGCAGCGGCCAGTGCTACGGCACAGCAGGTAAGTCCCTGTGACACCGGCAGCCCACTCGAGTGCCAGTCGGAGCCCCAGCTGTTCTACTTCCAACCCAGCTCCCTCCCTCCAACGTGCCTGGAAGACGGCTCAAGTACCTGAGCCCATGCCACTCGTGTGGGAGACACGGATGCAGCGCCTGGCTTTGGCCTAGCTCAGTCCCCCTCACTGTGGCCATTTGGGGATGAACCAGAGGATGAAGAACACTCTCTCTCTCTAACTCTGCCTTTCAAATAAAAATTAATGCAAATCTACATATGAAAAATGTGACCTATTTATTAAGAGGAAGTTCAACTTTTCAACTGAGTTGTATCGGAAAGAAAAAAACTGAGCCCCCACAAAAGACGTCTCAACGATAACCGCGGCTGCTGCTCCACGGAACAGGCCCCGGCGCGCACGGCAGCTCCTGTCCCCGCAGCTCTGCCGCCGCGGACAGCGCCGCGCCACGCTCGCGCCTGTGTCAGCAGCGGGGCAAAGCCGGCAGCCACTGGCAGCCCCGAGCGGACGCTAGGAAAACGCCCTCCAAATCCCAGCACCGCCTCTTCTGTGACAACTGGAGGTTTGCACAGGACAACTTACAGTGTCATATTTCAACTTCAAATCCTGTGGAAACAGACCGCATCAGGGGTCTGAGTTACGACTCACGTCAACCCACAGGACAAGGCACCTGCCCTGTGCCCTCTTCAAGGCGGCCCGTGAGAACGTGCGGCTCTCCCAGCCACACGGTGCCAGGAGCCCTGCTCACCCACAGACTCAGCCCCAAGAGAGTCCCAGGGCACCACACTGCACCCGGGCCTCGCCGGTGGAGCCAGGGCAGCTAACCCCAGGGCTAAGCGCACACCGGCCACGTGGCCACGCGCCCCTCCCAGGAGACGGCACCGCAGTGGGGGTCAGGTGCTGACTTTCCTCCCTAAGGGCCAGAGAAAGAAATGTCTGTGGCCAGAGCTGGGGCTGCGCAGAGGTCATGAGGTCACTCTCCCAGCCCCGCTGCAGGCCCCAGAAGGGGTCACGTGTGTCTGTAACAGCCACCGCTCCAGAGAGCAGACGCACTTTGTCACAGGGAGGCAGCAGTGCAGCGACCCTAGGGTTAAATCCCACAGCTCGGAGCATCTGGACCGGCGCTGCGGCGGCCTGAGCTAAGCGGCTGTGACACGGCGTCCCGTATCCACGTGCCGGTTTGCATCCTGGCTGCTGTTTGCACTTCAGCCTCCTGAAAACCCAGCTGGGACGGCAGAGGATGACGGTCCAAGTGCCTGAGCCCCCCACATGTGCGGCAGGTGGAGGTGGAGCGTGGCTCTGCCTAGGGCCTGGCGCAGCCCTCCTGTCGCAGGGTTTGGGGAGTGAACCAGCAGCTCTGTCTCTCTGTGTCTCCTTCCTTGTCTGAGGCTTTGACTTTCAAATTAATTAACCAGGCTTGAAAAAAGCAAAGATACCAGGGCCGGCACTGTGGCACAGCAGGTAAAACTGCCGTCCGTGATGCCAGCATCCCATATGGGCACCGGTTTGAGTCCCAGCTGCTCCACTTCTGATCCATTTCCTACTAACGCGTGGGAAAAACAGTGAAAGACGGCCCAGGTGTTCAGCGCCATTCACACGGGAGACCGAAATGACGTCCTGCCTCCTGGCTTTGGTGTGGCCCAGCCCTGGCCGTTGTAGCCATCTGGGGAGGGAGTGACCCAGTGGATGGAAGATAGCTCTGTCTCTCTCCCTGTAACTCTTTCAAATAAATACATTTTTTAAAGATACAGTTTAAGATGCTTGCGTTTTTCCTTTGTGGAGGGCTTTTTGCGCTGGCTGTGGCTGCCTCGTGAGGAGTTTTTCTTTGGGGCCTTTCTGCATTCTGGCTGTTTGTCCAGTACTACCTGGTTCTTGAGTTTGCATTCTGTTTTGCTCCAAGTGGAACCTGTTCTCCGTACATCGCTGTGTCTCCACCTTTGAATTCTCTGACCCGTGCAGAGAACGCGGTTACAACGCGCTGGCCGGGAGCCCTGCAGCCCACACGTGGGTACAGCGCAATGAACAAACCAAGTTCCTGTTCTCGTGGACTGATTGTAGGTGGCACCGTGTTTGCATGGCAGCTACACACGTCCTCCCACGTCCTCCACGTCACCGCTAGAGCACTTGCGGCACCTCCTACAGCGCGATGCCACGTCAACAGCTGTAGGGCTAACGATGAGGAAAGCCGTCGCACAGGCTCAGTGCGATCTCTCGCCCAGGCATCTGTGACCCAGGCTTGGCTGGGCCTGCGCTCGTGCAACCCACAGACATGGAGCCGCTTGTCACTGCTCAGTCACCCACCAGAGGGGTTCATGGAGACAACCCAATCACCCACCTCAGGAAAGAGCTCAGTGGAGGACGGGCTGTTTGCACTCGGTCCCGTCCAACAACCACCAAAGGAGAAACAAAACTCCTCTGCCCAGCCAGACTCGGCACCAGAGTGACTTCCAGGGCTGTCTTGCTGGACACAGCGTCCCCAGCTCTCAGGTCGCGAGTGCGAGTCCCGGGCCCCTGCGGGGGAGAATTTCATTCCCGGTGCTACCTTCACATCTTCCCACTCAGGTACACGTGTGTCGGGAGACAGGATGAAAAGCAGCTTATTTTGGTGCCAGACTTGTGAAATCACGCAGGGTTTCCCACAAAGTGCATGTCCGTGGGCTTTCTGAGGCCCGCGTGCTTCCGGCAGTGTCGCCACGTAAGGCCCCCGCGGGCGGGGAGCAGCAGCTGCTCCTGTCACTAACGGGGGAACTGCTGCGTCGGCCTCAGGAGCCCTAAACACAGCACTTGTGTTGGACACACCACATTCTGCATCATACAGCACACCGGAAATAGACACAGTGCCCTGCCACCGCCAATGCCCCTGCCAGCCTGGGCGACCGGAATCACACACACACACACACACACACACCCCCGTTAGAAAGCCTGAGGGGAAAACTGGATGACCTAAGAAGCAAGCAAACACATAACAAGCGTCAGGATTTATTTGTGCTATTTTCCATGTTATTACTTCGCTGTATAATACAGTCATGAATATGTATATAAAAATGACACAAAGACAAGCTCTCTGAGTTATTAAACGAAGAGCATAAAGTGGCTTCCTGAATTATCATCCCAACCATTTCTATGTAAAGAAGAAAACAGCCTAAACCAACAAAGCTGGGAAAACCTTAATTATCGGCTAGAAGATACTAAAATTAGTGGACACAAATTGGTACTCTGAGACCTACGGAATGATTTTGGAAAAAACAGACTACTGCTTTCGCTTCATTGATTTTATGTTTTAGGATTGAATTCAAATTAATTGCGAATAGTAGCTCCTTCTCCACACAGTGTAACAGGACCTTGTTACAGGCATTTTGAGGAACAAAGTCTCTCAGCTGCAGGAGGGCTCGTAAAACCCAGGAAGTGCAGCGATCATACCGACCGAGGCCGACCCAATCGGCTGCGCTTCTCGGAGGATGCAGGTCTGCGCGAAGCAGCGTGGGCAGCCTGACAGCAACGAGCACTTCTCACGACGGACCACACACCAGCACTGCCCAGAAACCCGAGAATCAGCTCACCCAACACTGCGGAGCACGCACAAGGCGGCAGCGCTGACGGGGCGGGGGTGGGGGCGGGGGGGGTCTGACGTATCACGCACTGATCATCTGAGCCCCTGGTCAGAGCCACGAGGACAGAGCCAAGAAGACACCAGCTCACCCAACACTGTGGAGCACGCACAAGGCGGCAGCGCTGACGGGGCGGGGGTGGGGGCGGGGGGGGTCTGACGTATCACGCACTGATCATCTATCTGAGCCCCTGGTCAGAGCCACGAGGACAGAGCCAAGAAGACACCAGCTCACCCAACACTGCGGAGCACGCACGAGGCGGCAGCACTGACGGGGCGGGGGCGGGGGTGTGGGGGGGTCTGACGGATCACGCACTGATCATCTGAGCCCCTGGTCAGCCCAGAGGACACAGCAGTGCTCCTCCTGCCGCACCAGGCATGCAGCCCCCCGAGCCAGCACAGAGGCGCTCAGAGGCACTTCAAGGGCTCTGCCCTCTCCCCTACATCTCCGCAGTATGCCCGCTCCCACCTCTCCCCCTGCACCCCTCTCTCTGCCCCCATGGCTCTTCAACTCGCCCCCTGAACGCGGGCCGCCCCGTCTCTCGAGAATCTTGTCCGCGGGGACTCCCTTCTCCCCTCTGCTGCAGCTGTGCCTCAGGACGGCAGCCCAGCCACCCGGCTTCCCTCCACGTGCAAAGTGCCGGGAGAAGCCACCGTCTGGGGCCTAACTTTGGAAGCAGCACCTCTTCATTTTTGCCAGCGCTGACTCATCAGATACGATGACCCCCGGGAGGACAGAGGAACTGACCAGCGGAGCAAGTCAGGGCAGAGGCGGCGTGCTGCAAACAGGGAGCAGAGGGGCGCTGCCAATGGGGGAGAAACGTGGCCCCCGGAGCACCTCCCACACCATCAGACACGAACAAACCTTAACACTCTAGTGAAATACAGGGAACACTTCCAGGTCTCTAGATAGGTACCATTTCTTAAGCCAGACACAAAGACACTGACTCCACGAGAAGACAGATATCTGATTACATTCAACTTAAGTACCGTCACTGATTGAAAGCTACCTTAAAGACAGTAGAAGATTGGGCCAGATCAGGCCGCTGCCTGCAACACTGGCAACCATGAGTCCCGGCTGCTCCACTTGCAATGCAGCTCCCTGCTAATGTGCAGACGATGGTCCCAGTGGTCGGGCCCCGGCCGCAAACACGGGAGACCCAGAGGGAGTCCCAGCTCCTGGCTGCCACCCGCCCAGCCCTGGCTACTTCATCTGGGGGTGAACCAGCAGATGGAAGACCAGTCTCTTCTCACGGCCGATCAAGTAAACAAATAAATAAGACAATGAAAGATTCACAAACTCAAAACACAACCAACAAACATTTACTGTTAATAATATAAAAAAAGAATGTGGGATCTATGTTAGAGTGTGGCAGGTTAAGTCGAAGCCTACAACACCAGCATCTCTTGTCCACGGGTTTGAATCCCGGCTGCTTCGCTTCTGAACTGTCGGTTACCCAAGACCAAAACCCGCGCTCACCTGTTGTGGCTGAGGGAGGCTGTGACGGGCGTGGGCACAATGGTCTGCAAGCCCTCCCCTTCTATCTCCGTGCCGACCAGGCAGATGAGCTGCAGCTCTGGCAGTCCCACGCAGTTCACTTCATGCCAACTTTTACCTGGAAGAGCCGCGTCGAACGGGCAAGACCGCTTATCAAAAGCCAAAGTAAAGGCTCCGAACTTCTATCTGGCAATGTCACCCTTACCCCGGCCTCTTCTCTACTCGTCTAGCGTTTCTGTTACTCAATAATTCCCAACGTAAAAAGATAAGGAAGCTGCAAAACTGCTTGACAAAACTAGCAGCAAATGCATGAGCGACTGCTCACCGTAAGGTCAGCGCGGAGATCCCAACCCAGCGCCCGACCCCAGCACGGCCCCCGTCCACACAGAGGTGGGCGGCTTACTCTCCATGAGGTCCAGGAAAACCAAGAACGCTGCGTACACTTGCGTGGCGTCTCCCGCATCCAACTCCATCATCTCCAAATACTGGAAATCAAAATGGGGGCGTCAGACGCGGAAGGGAGGCTCGGGTGCCCCTCCAGTTGGCGCGTCACTGCACGTGTGCTATCTGCACAGAAGGTAGAGGGCGACGCAGGATGGCATCTGCCTCCGGAGGGTCTGCAGCTGTCAGAACACACAAACTGGGCAAAAACGACCTGTGACCGCGATGGGATGAGACCACACACGGAGCTCCCCTCGGGGTGTGGCCGGTGAGTGACAGAACGGGCCCAAGGCCCTGCCCTTAGAACAAGCAACGCAGAGCCACAGCGAGCAGTCGACAAGGTGAGGGTGAGCCACACGCGTCCGAGACCCGCAGCAGCAGCCGTGGGCTGTCCCGGGGTCTCGTGGGGGCCTGTCACCTGCATGGGGAGACACTGCCGGAACACCACGCCCCCTCCTCCCCACGCCCGGGAGGTGTCACCGAAGCGGACAAACAAGCTGCAGGGGGAACGCGTCTCCGAGGGGACGCCGAGGCCGCGGGCGAGCAGGGCTCACGCAGGGCGAGCTCCGCGAGGGCGGCTGGGAAGACGGGTGTCAGCGCACAGGTGCAGATCAGGGCTGCCATGCAACCGCAGGCGGGGCCACGCCAGAGGTCCGGATCCTCCGCGCGACGGGGCGCCGAGGGGCTGTGAGCCGGACGGCAGGGGAGTGGTGCCTGCGGGGGCCGCCCTGCCACCACGCTCCACGGACGGACCTAAGTCACTGGCAAACCGAGCCACACAAAGGCAGAGCCGGAAAACAGATACCCACTGGTGTTTATTTCTCCCCGACTGCAGAGTGCGTCCGCTCCGAAGGCTTGCTGTCCAGGTCTACAGAGCGCAGGTCTGCACACGGACCCGCACTGCACCCGGCCGGGCCTCTTCACAACCGACTGAGCGGACTCAGTGAGAAAAGTGCTGGGCAGGAAACGCTAAGTCCCTCAGTTCTCTGCGGAACTCGGCCTCCACGCTCAGTCTATCACGGCCTGCACTGGAGGCTGAGCCTGGGGCTGGCTCTGTGCACACCGCAGGAAGCCACGACCACGGGCCACCAGGCCACTGACCACCGGCCAAGTGGCCGGCATCCTGCAGCCCCAGCCACTGCACTCATCCGGGGAGTGAACGGTGGAGGGTCGGGTCTCCCTCTCTCTAACTCTTCCAAATAAACGGTAAAGTCTCTAAAGACAGAGTTACAGAGAGAGGGGTCTTCCATCCGCTGGTTCACTCCTCCAACGGCTGCAACAGCCAGAGCTGTGCCCATCTGAAGCCAGGAGCTTCTTCCTGGTCTCCCACGCGGGTGCAGGGCCCAAGCCCCTGGGCCATCCTCCACTGCTTTCCCAGGCCACAGCAGGGAGCAGCCGGGACTCGAACCGGCGCCCATATGGGAGGCCAGGGCTTTAACCGGCTGCGCCACGCCGGCCCCAGTCTTAAGAAACGTAAAAGAGCGAGCTGAGTGACCAGCACGGCCACTCCCCGCGGCAGACGCCTGACCAACAGCCACCGACCTAAGCCGGAGGAGCCCCACGCGGTGCGCGCCGTGGTCACCCCGTTTCTCAGGGGCGGACCCCCAACACCGCGCCGCCCTGGGTGCGGGGGAGAGGGGGAGGGGGCGAGGGCGGGGGAGGGGGCGAGGGCGAGGGCGGGGGGCGGGGGCGGGACTCGGCACACGGGGCAACCGGCCCTCCCGACCTCGCGGGCCCATCGCCACCCGCACGGCTCCCCGGCCGCGTCCCCGCCCACGCGACACCCCGCACGGCTCCCCGGCCGCGTCCCCGCCCACGCGACACCCCGCATGGCTCCCGGCCGCGTCCCCGCCCACGCGACACCCCGCACGGCTCACCGGCCGCGTCCCCGCCCACGCGACACCCCGCATGGCTCCCGGCCGCGTCCCCGCCCACGCGACACCCCGCACGGCTCACCGGCCGCGTCCCCGCCCACGCGCCACCCCGCACGGCTCCCGGCCGCGTCTCCGCCCACGCGTGAGAGGAGCCCGCGCCCGGCCCCTCACCTTGGGGTGGCTGCCGATCCAGGCGTCCTCGGGGGCCCACGGGCGAGCGCCGCCGTCGCCGCCGCGCTCCGCCATGGCGCGCCGCGCTGCACCGACCCGCGCGCCTGGCTCCGCCTCCCGGCTGCGCACGTGCGGCCCGGGGCCGCGCGCCGGGCTCCGCCTCCAGTGCACGCGGATCGGCGTCCGGCCGGGAGCACGGGCCTCGCGCCTGGGTTCCGCTGCCCCCGCAGCCCGCCCGGACCGGAAGTCGCAGACGCCTCCCGGCGTCGCCGCGTTTCCTCAGAGCCGGGCCGAGTCCCGCGTGAGGCGGCCGCCGCGGCGCTCAGAGCCCGCGTCCGGGGATGCGGGGAGCGGATGAGGGGCCGCGTCCCCAGGAGCGGGGAAGCGGCCTGAGGAGAGGGCGGCCGCCGGCCCGGCGCCGCTGCGGGGTGCAGCGCGGGAGCCTGGGAGGAAGGGGCCGCGGGGCGGGCGGCTCGGAACCCAGAGGCCCAGGCCGGACCCAGGCCGGACGGGACGTCTCCTTCCGGACTCTGCAGGCCCTGGGCACGAGGCCCAGCAGGAAGCCGCCAGAACTCCCGGGCTTAGTGCGCCGGGCCACCGCCTAGGGGTGCGGGAAGCGAGCGGGACGACGGGGGGCGCACGCCTGCCCAGGAGAGCCCCAGCTCGCGGGCCAGAGCCGCCGGAGTGCGCGTGGGAAAGTGGAGCAGGATACACGCTGGGGGAAGGAGTGCCAACCCCGGGCCTCCCACGGAGAGTCACGGGACACGGACGCCGGGGGGAGCAGCAGGGCCACCCCTGAGCCTCCCACGGAGAGTCACGGGACACGGACGCCGGGGGGAGCAGCAGGGCCACCCCTGAGCCTCCCACGGAGAGTCACGGGACACGGACGCGGGGGGAAGCAGCAGGGCCACCCCTGAACCTCCCACATGGAATCACAGGACACGGACGCCGGGGAGAGCAGCAGGGCCACCCCTGAGCCTCCCACGGAAAGTCACAGGGAACAAGTGTCCCACACCCAGGAGCGTGCACCTCTGATGGACCCTGCACCACCCATCGCAGTCACAAGAAACGCACGCTGGAGGGAGCAGGAGCCCATGTCCCGCAGCTCACACGTCTGATGGACCTTGAGTGCCCTGTGCGAAACACAGGAAAGGGACGCTGAAGGGACCAGGTGGTCCCCAGCGAGGAGGGTGGAGAGCCCCACTGGACAGCCCCACACCTCCCGCCCTGAATCACAGCATGGCTGCAGATGAAGATCTGAGCTGAGACCAGAGCTGCCCCCAAGGAGCCTGGGAAATGACCCACTAACAGGAAGCAAAGAATGCTTGTCAGAGAAAAGTGGTTGAACCCAGACTTCCCTCAATTCAAAAAACCGGGGTATGGTCCAAGTTCTCTGATGTGAAAAAATCAAGAAAACTGATCACTTTGCTACAGCTAGACCTTAGGATGAATTTGATGTTGAAACTGACATAAGGCTTTTAAAGTGACTTATAACTATTCTCAATGAAGTAAGAAAATATGTGTTGAGCAGATGAAAACATCAGGAGACAACCAGAGCATCTCAGGAGAGAGGAAGAAAAACATGTTAAAAGCCGGCGCCGTGGCTCAATAGGCTAATCCTCCACCTTGCGGCGCCGGCACACCGGGTTCTAGTCCCGGTTGGGGCGCCGGATTCTGTCCCGGTTGCCCCTCTTCCAGGCCAGCTCTCTGCTATGGCCAGGGAGTGCAGTGGAGGATGGCCCAGGTGCTTGGGCCCTGCACCCCATGGGAGACCAGGAAAAGCACCTGGCTCCTGGCTCCTGCCAGGATCAGCGCGGTGCGCCGGCTGCAGCGGCGGCCATTGGAGGGTGAACCAACGGCAAAAGGAAGACCTTTCTCTCTCTGTCTCTCTCTCTCACTGTCCACTCTGCCTGTCAAAAAAAAAAAAAAAAAAAAAAAAAAAACCATGTTAAAAGCCAAATGGAGGCCGGCGCCGCAGCTCACTAGGCTAATCCTCCGCCTAGCGGCGCTGGCACACCGGGTTCTAGTCCCAGTCGGGGCGCCGGATTCTGTCCTGGTTGCCCCTCTTTCAGGCCAGCTCTCTGCTGCGGCCAGGGAGTACAGTGGAGGATGGCCCAAGTGCTTGGGCTCTGCACCCCATGGGAGACCAGGAGAAGCACCTGGCTCCTGCCTTTGGATTAGCACGGCGTGCCAGCCGCAGCACGCCAACTGTGGTGGCCATTGGAGGGTGAACCAATGGCAAAAGGAAGACGTTTCCCTCTGTCTCTCTCTCACTCTCCACTCTGCCTCTCAAAAAAAAAAAAAAAAAAGTCAAATGGAAATTCTGGAACTTAAAATTATGATTTCAGAAGAAAAACATCTCACGGTTTGAGGAAAAATCAAGTGAACTTGAAGGCAGAGAAACAGGAAATTTCCAACATGCACAACAAAAACTGCTTTCAAAAAATGAGCAGAGCATCATTAAGGTACAATGTCAGACAACCTAGCATACATCCAAATGGAAAACAGGAGGAGAAAGAACGGGGCAGGGGGGAATAAACCTGAAGAAACAATGGCAAAAATCTCCCTAAACTTGGTGAAAGACAGACATTCGCTAATTCTAAATGCGAAATGAATACCAACTAAAATAAAGGAGTGCACAGTGTAGTCAGACTGTTGGAAGATAGAAGCTTGAATACACCGAAGATGTCCGTCCATTCTTTCTTACTTTTCTGTGCTTTTTTAAAAAGTTTTATTTATTTGAAAGGCAGAGCAACAGAAAGCTCTTCCGTCAGCTGGTTCCCTGTCTAAATGCCCACAACATCCAGGGACAGACCAGGCTGCAGCCAGGAGCTCCAGTTCTCCCACACGGGCGGCGGGGACCCAAGTACTTAACTGAACGTCACATGCTGCCTCTGAGTGCACTTTAGCAGAAAACTGGGCAGGAAGCCAGAGTGGGCCTCCAGCTGGGTGCCCTGATCCGGGGGCAGGTGTTCAAGGGGTTCTGAACCGCTGTGCCACAGTGCCCACCCACATCTGTTACTGAACGCAATGTGAAGCCATGGCAATTTGCAAATTTCCCTGGCATGTGTTACGTTGGACTGCAGTCATTAAACTCTGTCTCTCCAAAGCAGCTACTAATCCCCAAGAAGCAGATAGTACCAAAATTAGTAGGTCCACCGAAGCGCGAAATACTGAGATGAGTCCAGATGATTCTGAGTAAATCACACTGACCCCAAAGACCCAAGTCAGCTCATGTGATGGTATTTACAGAAGCATTAAGAGCATTTTCTTGCAAATCTGAGAGAACATTTTATAAATCAGCACAGAGATCTAATAGGATTAGGTGCTATTTGAAAAAGGAACAACATCTGCAAGGGAAGATTTTCAACTTAAGGAGAAAAAGGGAGGCTGGTAGAGAACCTAGGAGGATGAAGACAGATTCATGAGCAAAAAGCGACAGATGAGTGCCGTTCTTTGACAATGGATTTTCTGTTGTTTGGAAAAAGCATGATACATTAAACAGGAATCTTAGCCACTTCTCACTTTTAATGTCACTTTAAAAAAATGTATTTGAAAGGCAGAGTTACAGAGAGGGAGAGATATCTTCCATCTGGGTGTCCCACGTGGATGCAGGGGCGCAGGGCTTTGGGCCGTTTGTTGCCTTCCCAGGAGTATTAACAGGGAGCTTGATCAGAAGTGGAATAGCCAGGCCTCTAACCGGCTCCCCTATGGGATGCCAACATTGCAGGCTGTGGCTTAACACCCTCAGCACAGCGCCAGTCCCCAGTGTTCCCTTAAAGAGTTGAAGAACAAAGATTATCTCCTGGCTTCTGTGTTGAGCACTGGAAACCGTATTTGGTATTTGGAGTGGCTAATCATGAACACCGAGGGTTTGGGAGCGCTTCGACAACCTGGTATTTTAAGGACAGAGCACAGCAGCTGTGTGGCACTGGAGTGGAGTCTAATGCAGGATGGAGTTTCAGCTTCTCGTAGCCGGCAGGTTTCCCCTCTTGTGAATGCTCCTGCAGTTCGCTGTATTAGAGAGCCACAGGAGCTAGAAAAAGGAGCGGGTTGGTGACCATCGGTGAAGTCCCCTGAGGGTGCTCTGTTCAGTTAAGCTCAACGTAACCCAGCACTCGCTGTGCTGATTTCCCAGTGTGATACCCTGCCAGCCCATTTCATGCCTTTAAAAACATCCGTAATGTCCAGGCAGAGGCATGATAATGCACTTGGAGTCTCAAGAGGGAAAAGCAGGCATTGAATTGTGATGCAGATCTTTAGTGTGTTATGAGAAAAAAAAAGAAAGAAAGAAAAGGCTTTTCTGCAGGATCACATAAGACAGTGATCCAAAACTGAAACATGTAGGCGGGACCCAGATCAGTTTTTCATTAAGTGGTTGTAAAATTCTTCATATACAGCTTCTCCCTTTTCTGATACACAAAGCATGCAGTTTTTCATTTTCTGCATTTCAAGTGTAGATGTGCTGTTGATACTTTCAGTAAAATACAAACTGATATTTTGCTGCTCCTATGTTGTGGGCACATAGGGGATGTCCATCATATGGAAAAGAACTTGGAATAATTTCAATTATGTTCTCTACATTTTTTCAACAAAGTTGAGAGTGCAATCCAAATTCCCCATTATTTAATGTATTTAATTTTTAAAGGACTGCCTACATTTGAAACAAAACAACAATGTTTTAGGATAAAGACAAGCAGGATCTTTATGGAGAACATTAGGAGTGTTTTTCAAGGTTATTAGAAAAGACCAAAATTAATACATTGACAGGCAGGAGAGATTCAATATTGTAAACTTGGCGATTTCCTCCCAACCTGATCTATAAATCCTAGCAATCCTAATCCCCATAGGGATTTTGCTAATACTTGATAAGATGGTCCTGAAATGTGGGCATAAGGGGCCAAAGATCACCAAGACCCTTCTGATGAGCAAACGTCTGAATTGACAGTAGGTGATGGGGCAGCACAGGGAACTAACCCAGGGAACAAAATAGGGACCGAGGTACAGACTCACGCACATCGGACAGAAGCAACGCTGCAGGTGTGGGCTGGCAAGGGAAGGAGAGAGGATTTGACAAAAGGCAGAAGCAGAGAGACCTCTGAACTTTAAGGCAAAATAGAAAAGAATGCTACTCTAAGACAAGCACTCAGAACACAAGCCA